CAAGCTCAAGTGTTAATAATTGTGATAGTGGAAATATGCATGGGATGGAAATATATATGGAAAAAAAAGCTACAGGCTCAGTGTACATGTGTGGTATGTGTGTGAGATTTATGCTATGTATAGAGTGTGTGTTTTGTGTGTGTGGTGTGTGTATGGGATGTGTGGTGTGTGTGACATGTATGAGGTATGGTATAGTGTGTGTTGCGTAAGAATGTAGTGTATGTTGTGTGGTATGTGTGTTGTGGTGTGTTTTGTGAGGGATGTGTGTGTGTGTGTGTGTGCGTGTATGAAGATAAAGGACATTCCAGACAAGGAAACAGCATATTCCTAGTCAAGTGGCTGAGAGTACTGGCTTGTATGAGCTGCAAATTGTTTGGTTTAGCTGGAAAATAGTAGAAATTGTGGATAGTGATGAGAAATAAGAATAAAGGCTTTGAGAATGATGAAATCAGGATTTCTCTTTTTTATAATTAACATAAACATTTAAAATTGCATTGATATTTTCCTTCCACTTTGAGGTATCTGACTTTAGAAGACATCCTGTAAGGGTCATAGTACTTTCCCATGAATGCAATTAGTGTTCTTACTGCCTTGCTGGTATTCCCAGTTGGCAGATTTTCTACAAACTCTTCAGTATATTTTGGTGATAGTTCTCTTAATAGCTTCACGGTTAGGTCATCCTCCGAAGTGTTCAGTTTTTAAAATTAGATTCTCTGCAGTCACCCATAAAAATTCAACCCAATTATTGTTCTAGAATCAATATATTGTAGAAAAGTAAATTATTAGCATATTAGAAGACTTATTTCCCAAAGAAACTCTCATGGGTATCTCACTGTAATAAACAGTCTGTTTCCTATCCCAGCATCTAATAGGATTAGACACATCGCTTGAAAACTTGCTTAATGAACCAGGTGACAAATAATTTTACTAAAGAAGCCTAGAAGTCAATGGCAAAATGCCTGTATTCTAAGTTGTTCAGGACACATTATTGGATATAGAGGATTCTGAATAAACATGTTCACAAATGGAAAATTATTCAAGACAATGAGTCTTCCAACTATAAGGAATACTTTAAGACTTTTTAAAAAATATAGTCTAGGATGGGAATGCTCACAAGTAAATGATGCTGTGGAATCTGAAAGTTTTTCAATAGCTGTAGTATTCAGAGTTTCGTTCTGATGTAGTGTAGATTATGATCATGTTCTCTGTTCTTGAAACCTCATTCAGCTCTCAGTTTGGATCCAGCTTCTCAGAAAGTCCTTTCTTGGTCTTCTGCTTAAAATAGGAGGAAAACGCAAGTTATATACGTGATCTCTTCTCTGTCAACTGCCTATATTATCCCAGTCCCTCTCCATCTATTACTCTGTTTTTCTAAATAAAAGAATCTTATTTATTACTTATATATTAAGCATCTATCAGTCCCCACATACTATATGGTCTGATTTCATGCATGAGTAACTGAAGACCAGGAGTTTGGAAGTTATTTTTGAATCCTCCTTTTCCTTGCCCTTTCCTACAATTCTTTCAACTTATCAGTTAGTCTTGACTATTCTAATTCCAAGTATGTTTTGAACTCATTTGCCTCTCACAGTATTCACTGCCGTCACTCCAGCCCAAGGCCACCATGGATGCTCACAGCACTGTAGCAGTTTCCTGTCTGCTGCTCCACTTTACTGTGCCCCTTTTCTCTGCAGAGGAGCTGGAAGAAATTAACAAAAATGTGGATTGTATTGTTTATTGTCTTGCTGGAGTAGGGCATATGTAGGTTCTCATAGCATTGACTGAATGAACAGACAGAAATAGATGAGCAGAGAGAATGAATTGGCAGAAAGTCTCCCTCTGTCTTTTCTTACCAAGAGGGCTGGTGACACTTGGCTAAGGTCACAGAGTTACTACCTGTCATATTCAGAAATAAAACCCAATTTTTCTAAGAATGGTCAAGGATTTATTGTCAGAAAATGCTGCCATCTCTCATTCCTTCTTTTTCCTACAAAGTAGTAGTAATTTGTTTCACTGTACTGGACAATTATTATTCATTTTGATTGGAAAACAGACACCCATTTACTATAAAAATTGTTAAATTACTGCAGAATATAAAGAAATCAAGGAGTAAATTGCATGTAATTTTTACTTTTATCATTATGTTTTTCTTTTTTGTTGTTGTTGTTTTTACCACTAATACATGTTTATTTTTATAGCTAGGAAATATATACAGTTATATAAATGTGTAAAAAATTTTATCTCTGTGAAATCACTGGTGGTATCGTAATGTAATTTATTCTAGTATTTGATAGGCTCATTTGCAATTTGTGTGACATGAATTTCCATAATGTGTGGAAAGATAGTTTAGATAAGCTACCATAAATTCAGTAGACTCCATAATTTTAAACACAACCCACACAATTAACAAACATAGGAAATTTAGCATACTGTTTATAATCCCTTGAAATTTTATAGCAACTGCCTTTAAGAACTGCAAAATATTTAGTGTTAGAAACCTAATTATTTTGTAGAAAAATCTTTTGAAAAATAAACTTCATAGCCTTTTTATTAAATAGCAGTGATATCATAGTTCCACTTATATATCTATAGCTATTTTTAGAAGTTTCATTAATGTATAATATATATGTTAAGTAAATAATATATAATAAATGTAACATTGAGACCACAAGTGTTTACCTCTCTTCATGCTTCTTGTCAAAGTGTCTTCTAGCTGGGATTTGTTTTTGGGTGAAAACTTAGAGGAATTTCTTTGGTATATTCATCTTTTCATTTGCCATTCAAGATGGACTTGTAGTGGTCAAATATTTTTGTGGATTGACCAACACCAGTGATATTTCAGTGGCAGTCTTTTCCAGACCAGTTATTTGTGATTTATTTTGAGGTGGTAGATACCGTTTCCATTCTTGCCCTTTATTAATTTTTTGCGTCAGGGACTGCTTAATCTGTCAATTCAAAAATAGCCCTGTTGTCTGATTGATTGCCACCTCCTGTCTGATCAATCTATTGCTTGTCTGCCTTGTCCACATGTCTCAAGTAGGTCTTATCCTTTGAAATTGTGCTTCACTATGTCCCTAGGTGTTTATGACAAAGTCAAATGGCAGTACCATGTCAAATACAGTCTTCTTCACTCTTTTCCCTTAGGAAAATCTCAGTGATGACTTTCCAATTGCCTGGACTTAGTACTGACTACATAGTTTGTGGAATATAGTATAATTAAATAATATTCCAAAATTACTAAGAGCAGAACATTAAATCTAGCATGGGGCCCTCCTATTCCAGTGTCCTTATGCCACTGAATAGATAATGCACGCATGCAGTCTGCTCTGCTTAGATCTTTCATTCATTAGTCTCCTTCATTTTCCTTCCAACCAAGAATTATGGACCATTTATTATGTGTGAGGCATTATACTTGTCATTGAAAATAAAAATATGCTTACTTTTAGATTCTAATATCCCTACTTTTAGATTCTGGTGATTAAGACCCCCACAGATAAATGAGACAGCATACACATCATGACTATTTTTTTATCTCCTTAAGATTAAATAGTCTGCAGTAATTTCCTATATATCAGTCTGAAGTTGCAAATCTGTCCCCCAGTTTCTTCTGATACATATACTAACTCTAGAACCCCAGAACTTTCTGTCTTCCTGGAGCTATTACCATCCCACACATTGCCTGTTTCATCCCTAAAGACAAATTTATTCATGACGAGGTAAACAGATCTTGTTTATGAGGGTATTATTGACACGTCTTTAAGGCTAAGGCTTAAACTAAGATATCCCCAGGGAATTGCCAAGTAATATGCCATAAACAGTAAAACCACCAGGTAGATATTGAATACAGCTGCCTTCTTAGCCACAAAGGATTATTGCCATATAAGAATGTAGGCAGTGTTGTCAAAAAAGTTAGAAACCTAAGGAATTACATGAAATTTCCTTTTTCTTTTGTCAATGAATTCCATTTTTTAAAAAACTCACTATATGCAGAGAAAAAAAAATAAACCAGTAACAAGTCCTAGAATCCAATGTAGCATTGAGGCTCTCAGAGAGGGAGGGAAGGAGGTCTATGGATGTTTTGGCAGTGGGTGTGGTATGGTAACAACACCTGAATGGGGAGATCCTATACTTCTAAATCATATTCAGTGTTGTAAACCAACATTTCCTCAATTAAAAAAAAAAAGGAGCAGACATTCTTAATTTTAATAAAGTCCAATTTGTCAATTTTTTTCCTTTATGCAGTAAGCATTTTGTTTTAAGCCTCTAAATAATATCTGCCTAGTCCATATTCTTTGTATTTACTTCTAGAATTTTTATAGTTTTGGGTTTTATCCATTTTGAGTTAATTTTTGTATATGGTGTAAGATAAAGATTGAAATTCATTTTTAAAATAAGTATGATCATCCAAATGTTCCAACATCATTCATTGAAAAGACTGTAATTTTCCCACCAAATTGTCTTTGCAACTTTGTTGAAAATCCTTTGACCATATATGTGTGGATCTACTTTAAGCCACTGTCTTCTGTTCCAGTGACCCACATAATCTTAATTACTTAGTGCAGGTACTTCAACTATTTTCTTCTCTTTCAAAGTTGTTTTTCCTTTTCCAAGTTGTTTATATTTGTATATAAATTTTTGAAATCAGCTTGTCAATTTATTCATTTTCATTGCTACTTAACATTCTGTCATGTAAAAATTCCATAATGTTTATATTCTATAATTTATTTATTTTCAATGTTTTGTTTTTATTATCCTATTAACCATACTGATAATGTGAATGGTTTTGCCAACTCATGATCCTGCTCGAGAGCTTCTTGTATATATTCTCAACAGTAAATTTTCCAGGACTATGTTTAACATCATCTTAACAGAATGTTGCTGGATTGTTTTACAAAGTGGTCGAGCAAATTTATATTCCTATAAATCATATATAGGACATTCTATCTGTTCTAATTTTCTAACATTTGGTAATGTCAGACTTAATTAATTTTGCCAAATAGGTGAGATTAATACCCTGGAGGATGTGAGTGAGAGGATGTGACTGCCTGTTGACAAGTGGACTGGACCAGGACAATGAAGGCTTCTTAACCATTTCCCTTGTCCTTGGAATATACAATACGCCCACTGATCCCATACTGGGAGCTGCTTCAAGGATGCAATCTGGAGAGAGTAATGTGTTATTGAGACCATCTGGACTGTATATGTGACCGAACCCCTTGGTGGCCTCTATATAATCCTCTAAGATTTTGGTAGGTGGGTACCCAAGATAAGCCTCATGTGAGTTCCCTTGCTTATTAAAACCACCACCTAACAATCTAGAAAGCTGTCTTTTTCTTAGTCTATGTTTGCTCTCTGTATACATACCAGTTTTGAATCTTACCCCAGAATTCCCAAGTCAACATACTCACAATGTTAAAGGTCTTGAGATTAGGTCTTTCTTCAAAGATGGCTATTGGCTGTGTTCTCCCTCTTCTGTAAAATTACTACTCATGTTTTTGTTTCTTTTTTATTGCATTGCAGGCCATTTTATAGCTTCGTGTGGGAAGTATTTTTTAAAAACTGTTGCCATTTTTTCCCTCCTTTGGAGTATTTTCTTGTTGATCAGTGCAAGTTCTTATTTTCTATATTCTTAAGAAGTGCTGTGTGAATTTTAAGTATTTTCTGGCCTTTTAAAGATTTAAATATCTTTTGATGAATAGAATTTTTAATTTTAATGTTTTGAATTCTATTTTTTTCTTTTATGTTTTTATCTTTATTATTTTGTTTATATGTTTGGTTTTTTTGGTTAGGAGAGTGTTTTAATTATTTTATATATTAATATTTATATTAATATAAATTAAATTTCCTCTTGTTCTCACTCTATATTATAGGGTTAATGATTTAAAACAAAGCTTTTTAATCTCTTTTTAAACTTTGAAGTTAAAGGATTATTCTGAGCATATTTAAATGCAGGTACTTGTATCAGCTATAACTTATTTTTCTATTACAGTTATGATTTAGTGTTCAGAATCGGAAAAAACGAGGTGGGCATCACCCTTGAAGAGCTTTTTTTAAAATCATAATTCCAAGTGTGTTACACACTACTTTGACTAAAAACTATGTACCAGTCTTTAGATTCTAAAAGGATCCTATCTGTGCACAAATCCATTTGTGAAGCCAAAAGCTGATCTGGTATAAATGTGCCACAAGGATCCATTTCAAAACACTGCTTCCTCTTGCCAAGGTCAGTGGCTATCACTGAAGTAACCAGAGAATGCCAGTGTCCTACTCTCAAAAAGCCCGTCTCTTTTGCAACATTAAGTTTCAGCACTTTTTGTCCCTTTCTTTTCAATGATGGAAATCTTTTTTATAAGTCCTATGGTAAGTTCCTATGAAAAATTTAGATGGAGAGGAAAAAAAGTGTTTGTTTTTCCCAGAAAATAGTAATTTCTTCTTAGAACAAGTTTCGTTTCCAGAGAAGTTAAAAAAAAAAATGAATGCAATGTCCCTAGGTTTCCCCATATTAGAGAACGATTGCTAAATTGAATGCTCTATAGCTTTGCTATTTAAATACATACTCCTGGTATAGGAGTGCCTTCTTTATTTACTCACTCAATTTCCAAGTATACTTAGTGGTCAGTATTTCCCACCTTTCTAAGTGTGCACATACACTGCCATAGGTATATAATTAAGATAAAGCCCTAGAATGGAAGATAATTGAAATGAAGCCAGCAGGCACATCAAGACTGGGATGAAGCCAGATTTGTTTTGCATAGGACTTACATATAGTTTTATTTCAAACAGGAGCCCCAAATAAAACCCCTTTGACCCGAGTACTCCATCCCTAAATTGCAAATGAAACATTCATGAAAATTTAATGGTGAGGAAATTAGTACCTTCTTATGTTTCAGACTGTGAAATGGCACCAGGGAGCACTTCCAGCGACAGGCAGAAGTGTGTGGATATGCTGGAGCAAACCTGAAGCACTCGTCCCTTCAACCTGTCATCCTTCTCCAAGTCAGTCAGCCCCTCAGACGTGCTGACTGGACACCTCCAGGATGCCACCCAAGAGAGGTATTTCAAAATAAAAAGCTGGCAGTAGAATACTCTACCTTTCTTGGGTATTGAGCACTTTGAAAAGCCTTCCCCCCCCCCAATTTTATTCCCTCCTTGGCCTTTCCCTTCTCTGTTTTTTATTTTAATTTTAATTTTATTTTATTTTATTTTTTTTTCCTTAGAGTTCCTTTGACTCTTGAGAATTAAGGATTTTGTACTTCTTCACTTCTTTTCTTGAATGGACATATAATTTCACCAACTATTAAGTACTGGACCTTTCCTTTCATTTAAGAAGATGCTATGGAAAAGCAAAATACACTGAGATTCATGTGTAGAAACTCAAAACTCAAGATTCAGTTGGTAGCAGTGACCCATGTTAGACTGATATGGGGACAGCTTTGTGACAGAGACCTGTCCTGTTTCTGGTGAATACAGTTCTGAATTAACTACAGTTGAAAAGGTAAAGAAAAGAGATATAACTCCCCTCCCCCTGAGGTATTTATGTGCAAGATGAGCAATGTGTTGAGACACAGTTTGGCTGCCTCACTTGTCACAGGGGTGCATTTTCAGTACCATGTGGGACAATGTGTGGTATGTTCAGCTGTCATTTTGTGATGCTTATGTAGTTTGTATTTGGATGTGTTTTCAACAATGTTTTGTTCCCCAGAAAACAAACTGGTAGAATTTTCAAATAGGGAAAAATCTGGAAATATGTGTTTGCTTTCAACTATAGAATTTTTACTCTAGGTTGCTTTGGTGTCAGTCATTCCTTTACTTGAATTATTTAATCTTAGTATAGATAGTGGAGACAGACCTCACTTAGAGGTAATCCATCAAAGTCATCCAACCCAGACCTATGTCTTGAGAATCTGAGTAGTACCCTATTTAATATACTCAGTTATTTTTTATTAAACTCAAATATCTGGACATTGTTAGCAATATCCTTACTAAAATAGGCCTTTGCTTTCAGAAAACAAAACGACTACTTCTTTTTTTTTTTTAAAGATTTATTTGTTTTTGCATACAAGAGCTGGGGTGGAGGTCAGAGGAGCAGGGTGGTGAGAGGATTCACCAGACACAAGGTAGGAAGCAGAACAGGTGGATCTACAGAAACACACTGCTGAGTGGAGCAGCCAGTGAGATAGGAGAGGTCTGATGTGCCATGTGGGTTAGTCCCTGGCCGGGATTGAAGTTGTGCTACACTGGCTGCCGATAGCTTGATAGTGCTGAGACTTAACTCCTTGCACCACCAGGGACTTCCCAAAACAACTGCTTTTGAGACTACATGCTTTTCCAAAGAAGCTACTGGAAATGACCTAAAGTTGCATATTAACTTTTAACAATTGCTATTGGTTTTTCATTAATAAAGGAAAGGTTCAAATCTTATAAAAGATGTTAAACTTCAGCACCTTTAGGGTCCCAACTTAGTCCCTCAGGCTATTTTTGTAATTATGATGTTAGTAGCCTCTTTTTATATCCCCAAGTTTTTACAAAAACTTGTAATAAGACTGTTTATATGATCTTAAATGTGAACTGTGTCATTAAATGGGTAAGATTAGACTTGATTATTTTTGCTGCTTCTTAAAACTGTCTATTTATCATTTATTAATTCCATTGCTTTCACAAGAGATATTTTAATCTATTTTGAATGGAATATATCTTTCTACAGAAAATGTATGCATTTTAGAAAACTATATTAAATAATGACATGAACAAAAACACAAAATCGCACTATAAAAAAAAATCATCATTTGCATTCAGGAATCTTCTTCCGGAGTTTTAAAATTTAAGCTATATTTGGTTTATGTTTTCAAAAATGGGTCCAAATTAATATATAGAAGATATATTTCGGGCTTCATTAATATATGACAAATTAATATATAGCAAATATTCTTGGGCCTCCTAAGAAAGGAAAAGAACTATAGCATTGCCTATTTTGGTTGCATATCATAGTATCATAACAATGACTTTTATTATCAAGTACCTGTTACATGCCAGGCTCTGTACAATGTGCAGTGAAGACTTACTCCGATGGCAAGATGTGACATGATGACCAGTGATATCTCACCGTGATAGCTAGCACTTTCAACAAACCACTAAGGGAAATAGCAGGCCAACTGTCAGGTGCATAGCTCAGCATGTCAAATTTCTTCAGACATGATGCAAAGAAAAGCTGTGTTTAGGGGAACCTATGAAAAGATGAAGAAAGGCAAATATATCAGCTTTATTTCCTTATGTCCCTATTAACTCAAGAAGAGTTAACACTTCTGAATTGTGTTATTCAGCCCCTTCCACAGGGCATTGCTCTAATTGTCAGATCCCACACTTTACAGAGTCATGGTCCATTGAAGTCTTGAAGTGACAGAGGTGCTAAGATCTCTGGGATTGCAGGTGGTCAATTCTGCTTTGTGCTTCCCACTTTGCAGACAAAAATGGTTGGTTAGGGCTGGAATGTTGTTAAAGCCTTAGAAAAGTAGATGGCATTTGAGGGAGGCTTTTGTCTAATATACATTATAAAGGATTACTAGTACATAATGAGATTGAATGTGGGAAAGTGAGAGAGTGTGTTGCCATGAATGACTCCCAAGTTTCTCATTTTGCTAATGGAATAAAAGGAAATTCCAGTACATAAGACAGAGAGTCAGCGGGGGGAGAAAAATTGATTACCTGCAAGGTATTTTTTTTTTTGGAGCTTGGAAGAGAGAAAGGTGTTGATAATAGATATTTTAAGTCATCTGGGAGTTAAGAAGTTACTAGAATGAATTGAATACCCGGGAAGAGTGTGTAGAATGACCAGGAAAGATTGCCAATTATGGCACCCTGGACAATGTCAACATTTAGTGGGCAGTGTGGGTAGAGGGTAGGTCTATGGAAGAAACAGAAAGAATGGGTTAGGGGGACAAGACAAGCTCCTGGAGAGAAGAGAGTCATAGATGCTAAGAAGCAGTTTCTAGAAGAAGGGCTCAGCAAAGAATTTCATCATGATTGAAAGAAATGTAGACTAAGCATGCGTACAAAGATGATAGTTCTGATTTGTAATTTAAAATGTAATCATGTTGAGAACTCTCTTCCCTTCCTCTGTCCTTCCTCCTCCCCTCCCTCTACTACACAGTTTGAAACAGATTGACAAAGTGCTAACTGGAAAATGTCCTCAACTACAAAATAAAGATAGTAATCACCACCATGTTGCTGTACCCTTGGCTGACCACATGAATTACTTTTTAACAATGCAAAGATAAACCTGAGCCTTGTTTGTACAGATTTTTCAAAATTCTAAATTTGTGGTACTCAAATGAATGATGTTTTACTACATTTAAGATGATTAAATAGCATTTCCTACAGGAGATAATATCTATTTATTATATAGATATATGGGTTTAAAAATTCTCATAGAAATTCACTGTATTGGGCCTCCCTGGTGGCGCAGGCGGTTGAGCGCCACACTGTGAAGCTGTCTGTGGCCTCTGCAGCGTGGGTTTGATCCCAGCCTGGCCGGCAAGAATCCCACATGGCGCAGCAGACCTCTCCTGTCTCGCCTGCTGCTCCCCTCAGCAGTGTATTTCATCAGTCTGCCTGTTTTGCTCCCCACTCTGTCTCTGGTGAATCTTCTCATCCTCCCGCACATCTGGCCTGTACCCCAGTTCTTGTATAAAAATAAATAAATCTTAAAAAAAAGAAAAAGAAATTCACTGGATTTATTAATTTTTTTTATTTGATCAACAAATTCATTTGATTCTTTTTATGTGCTCTAGGAAGAATGTGATGTGTAGGTTCCTTCTCAAAGACTTTATAGGGTTATGCATTTGGGCAGTACTGACTGAACAATTAGGAAAACAAAACCAGAGTCAGAAACTCTACACATAATAGAGAATCCACTGATGCAGTTGTGTCTAATGAGTCTGTGTTTCAAGGTTTTCTCTGAAGTGGACAGCAATTCTTGGGTTTGAAATGCCCATTAGCAATGGCTAAGAGATAGTGTTCTTCTGATTCCTAAACTAGTTGTTTAATTTTCATTTCTTTTATTCTACTTTTAAATGTAGCTTATGAACAGTAACCTTACACATTTAAAATGTATAATTTGCAAATTTTGGCAAATGCATACATGTGCTAATGACCACCTCAATCAAAATTTCCATGTTCCCCAATGGTTTCTTATGTCCCTTTGGCATAATTCATATATCTCACCCCCAGTTCTCACATACTCAGCTTCTGGATCCAAGAAATCTCTAATCTGATTTTTGTTATCATAGAAAATTTGCATTTTCTAGCATTTCATGTGAATCAGAATATACAATAAGTGCTCTTTTGAGACTAGCTTCTTATATTCAGCAAAATGTTCTTTGAGATTTACCCACATTATTAGTGTTATCAGTAGTTTGTTTTCTTTTATTGCTGAGTGGCATTCCATTGTGGGAGTGTACCAGTTTCTTTACCCATTCACTTATTGATTAACATTTGCGTTGTCTCCAGTTTTATGAATAAAGCTGTTATGAACACTTGAGTACACGCCTTTGTGTAAATGTATGAGTTTTACTCCCAGGGTTGTATGGCAAGTGCTTGATTAACTTCTTAAGAATGTCAAATTACTATTTAAAGAGGCTCTAGACTATTTTACCAACAGTATATGAGACTTCTAATGATCCCCATCCTCACCAAAAGTTGACATTGCAAGTGAAACTTTTTCACTTTAGCAACTTGAGAGAGTATTTTGGATTTTGGATTTAATTTGCATTTCTCTAATGATGTTTAATATTTCTCTGCTATTTCTTTTCTTTCATTTATAATAAAAACAACTTTATTCTCTTACCTTTTTCGTAAGGGTTATTTTTGTATTCTATTTTCACTATGGGTACATTAGCTATATCTTTTTTTTAGTGGTTTTGAAATATACATCTTTAAATTCAAATAATGCTATACCACTTTACTTATATTTAGGAACTTTATTACAACATAATTTCATTTCTCCTCTTCTACTTTGTGTTATTATTTATGTATATTTTATTCCCATATTTATTATA